CAATAAACTTACAGTTTTTCATTTCTTTCCTGGTCAGTATCTGATCGAATTAAGGATGTGGTGCTCCGAGGAATGATATATTTTAAATATAGTATATGTAAATATAATATATTTAAATATATCCACAAATTATCTATTTCAGAATTCTAAACTTTTAAATTACCCTACCTGTACAAACATGATAGTACAATGTATAAACCTGATATATTGGAAAAAATTATAATTATATTGTAAAAATGTGATATTTATTGTATAAACTTAATAATTACATTATCCAGCTTATTGTACAAATGTGATCATTTCATCCTGATGGTGGCAGTAGTGAGCTCTGAGACTGCATTGACAACAAGACTTAACAGGAAGATGAAGTCAGTGCAATCCATAGATGAGTGTACTCTGGGAGCAGGGAGAATGGCAGAAAATGGACAGGTGCAAAATGGATTCCAGTGTAACTAATATTTCAATGTCACAGATATCCAGCGTATCCATCTTGAACACATTTAAAGTGCTGAAACTTCTATCCATACATGTTTTTTTTTTCAGTCACGTGACCTCCTCCCTACCCTGACGGACATAGCATTGCGGTTCCTGCTGTTTTTAGTCAAGACTACTTTGATCACCTATCTGTAAAAGACAAACAAAGACATGAGAAAAAATACTGATGTTGTGGACTTCCTCTGCCTCTGCAACTTGTTTTAAAACATCTCTGCAAGTGGCAACATCTTACGACTCCAGTTCAGTGAGTTTTCAGTGGCTTTTGAAAGTCCAAACTGCTACAAACATGTTTTCAATCTGGATTGTTAAATAATGCTGTCGTGTGGAGGTGAAGAACCAGAATATGTTCATCTTTATATAGTCAAGGTAAGAACAATGTTGGTGTAAACAACTACTACATGCAGTTCTAATGTTTTGTTGACTTTGGCCTTTTTATTTAAAATGTTTATTCATAATACTACTGTAAATAAATGAATTATGATCATTGCTATTATGATAATATTAATATTGACTGAACAGTTTTCCAATATCAGATAGACATGCCTATAGTTTAAATGAAGCACCACTCAGCCTGCCACAATCCTCAACTGATTATTCCTAATGTGATCCAGAAATAAACATATCAGTAGTATTTCCATAAACTGAAGTTAAAGACATCACAACCAAGAAATGTTTGGGTGACATACAGAAATATATGATGCTTATTACATCAAAAAATGTTATTCTGTAAAACTTATTCAAAAACTCATCTGACTTTATTATTTGATACAAAAGTCATTCAGCTACTTGTGAATTCAACCCCTGAATTTCAGAGGTCAAGTGTTTACACCACTGTCAAATATGAACTCCGGACACAGCTATCAATCATAACCATGACATTATGTGACATTGAAATGTTCCTATACATTTTTTTGGTGGTGGGGGGGGGCTTTATTCATAAAAAATATTTGAAACATGTATCAGAAGTATTAGATGAGTTTAGTTTTTTTCCTGATTTTCCCCCGAGCATATACCAATATGGGAGTGGCAGCACACCAACATGACTGTGAGGAGAGGCCTCATCTTCATCACCTCTCTGTATTAGCCTACCTGTGGGTCAGGAGCATCTTGAYGTKTGACAGAACCTCAAATATTTCAGGCTGCACAGTACAGTAGTTAATTTTATTCACAAAAATACCAAATTTAATGTTGAATAAACCGTTTAAATAATTAATGCGTCAGTGTTGTCATCCATTTCTTTAAGGAAAATAATTCACTGTGCAATGTGACACTGTTTCTGTCTTCTAATGTTTAACTGGATGAAACAACATGGAGCCAGGATAAAATAAAGACACACATATAGACAGGTAAATACAGATATTTAGTTCATAAATATATTGTGTGTGTGCACATGTCATTAATTTATCATCATGCTTTCAAATGCAGGTGTAGCTCTTGCCCTAAATATGATGACGTGGTACAGCGGCAGCGTATCATATTTCCCTACAGACCATGACACTATATTATATGCTAATATACAAAATATGTATATTTTTKAATTAATATTTAAGCCACAGTTTATGTGTGGCCAAGGACGTTTTATACACTGGATTTAATTCACTATATTTTTTATCCTTTACAGTTTTTTGTCCATTATATTTTGCACATTTGTTGGGTGAAATAAAGTTATTTTAAAAAATAAAGCCCTCCCGTAAGTATTTMTTTTCGCGCATGCGCAAATGCGCACGCTTGAGCCAGCAGCAGCKAACTCCCTGTTGATATCAGGGCTTCTGGAAGAGATGGGAACACGGAAGTGAAGTTGTTTTTGAAGAAGGCGGTAGGAGTGRATTTTTTGGAGGATTGCATAAACTGTACTCTGAGTGTAATTCATGACTTCCACATCAGGAGGGAATAGTGGGAATGAAATGGAGTGGATGATGTCAAGATCATCTAGAATGAAACGAGCAATTAGGAAAAGACGGGAGAGAAAGAAAGAAAGAGAGAAAAGAAYAGACAMCAGTAAAAAGACAAAAACAAATACAAGTCAGAGATCTAGAGCACTGTTTCCCAAAGTTGGGGTTGGGACCCAAAGTGGGGTCCTGAAACATCAAGGTGGGGTCCTGACAGGATATTCTGAATTAATTACATTATTGCCTTAGTTGTTACAAAGGAGTGAGGTTAGTATATTTAAAATGATAAATGTAGTATAAAATATTGTTACTATGCCCATGCTTTGTTGACCTGATACAAATGTTTATCATCCAAAAATAGTTGGGGGCACAGGTCTCTGCTGCTGTTATTTTGTGGGTCAAAAGCTGAAATGTTTTGGAAACACTGCACTTTGGTTCCCAAAGTTGGGCTTGGGACCCAATTATGGGTGATTAAGCACCTTGGATAATCTCCAGAAATCAATTTAAAGGGTAATAAAATAATTGACGATGTAATATTTTCCCTAAAATTATTACAAAACCAAAGTATTTATGTTTGTGTTCAAGCTGTTTAGATTGTCAAAAAAGCCTGTGTTTTTAGGGTTATTAAGAACGTTTGTGTACTCAGACCAGTAATATTTGGGGTCACAGTTTTTTGCCATGGATATTTTGTGGGTCAGAAGACAAAAAGTTTGGGAACCACTGATCTAGGGAACTAGAAGAGCAAAACATGGAAGAAGATTGGAAAGTATTTGTAGAGTTTCAACAAGAAGGGGCACATAATAATCCATCCATCCATTTTCTGTACACGCTTCTTCCTTTTCAGGGTTGCGTGGGTCACTGGTGCCCATATCCAGCAGTCACAGTGCGAGGGGCAGGGTACACCCTGGACAGGTCGCAAGTCCATCACAGGGCCACATTTAGAGACAAACAAGACAAACAACCATTCACTCTCTCACTCACACCTAACTAAAGCAATAGAAAAAGAAATAGGCAGTATCAAAATGGCTGGGCTTATTAATAACAAAAAGCTATTAATTCATGCAATCAACAAACAGCAGCAGGAAAAAATAATCAAAATGACAACTTTAGTTGTGGAAAGAATAACAGCATACAAACCAGGTTCATTTGCAAAACTAAGGGGAGTCATTTCAGGAGTACCATTAGATGTGAAAATGGAAGATGTCAAAAATTAAACTAAAAGGAGGAAAAATTGGAGAGGCTAACAAATTAAAGAGTAAAAGAGATGTAGTTATTAAAGAAACCATGTCCGTGTTGCTACAGCTTGAAGATACCTTGCCCAAATCAGTTCAAATAGGTTTTCTAAACTACAAAGCAAGAGAATACATTCCNGGAAAACTGCGCTGCTAGCATTGCTGTGGCTTATCCTGTCTATCTCTGTCGTCCAGTGTTTATCGGTGACTTTGGTTGATTCAGCTCTGCTGGCATACAGCAGGGCCAAGTTACTGAGCTTTCGGTAGATCAGAGTGCTACCTTCACCAAATCTACTGGAGGACGTTCAGTGGGATCTATTTTGAAACTATCATCACCACCTCGAGAGCCTTGTGGACAATAGAGGACCAGGAAGAGAGGACAGAGAGGCGGCATCAAGAAGCGTGTATGCAGAGCCTCTAAGCTACCGCTGCCTCCTATCAAACTGTGTAATCCCCGCTCCGTCTGGAACAAACTGGAGGAACTGCGCTCTCATGCTATACCATTTCAGGAGTATTGTGAGTCGGATCAATTTGTTTTCAGCGAGACTTGGTTTAGTGACGTTGGGCCTCATGCAAGAACATGTTCATATTCTTATCCTAAATTTGTCATGATTTGTCAGTTTTCACCTTAGTTTTCCTAGTGTTTTTTATGTTCCCCAGTGTGTCTC